CTTCTTCTTAAAAACTGTAAGTCCGATTGCTTTGATACTATACATATTGTTCATTTTCTGATGATGTCTTCAGTTCTTTAATTGAAATGTGCATTTCTAACAGCGGAGCTATCTCAGCCGATAGGCTGCTTGTTGTATTACTAATGTATTGTATTTCTGTTTACTTTCAGTGTGGGGATATAGCTTCTTGTTTGTCACTTTGATTAACCTATGTTCATTGGTTGGTGTAACCATTGTACCATTTATGAAAAAGAAAGTTTACCAAACCATTTTGATGTTCTTGATATGTTTAGCTGTGGGTACATTATCCGGTAGTGCATTGCTGCATCTATTGCCCGAGGTAAGTTTATATTGAAGTTATTGAACTATTACGACTTAAAGTTTCCCAAATTTATAAGATTATTCAAACAACAAACCCTCATGGCTCACATTAAGAAATCCTTGCTATTTTCATATAGAAAAAAAGCATGTTTTTCTCAAGCTACAACTGCACCTATATTCACTTTTTAAAAATTTCAGGATACCGTACTCGACCACGTTAAGCCCATGCTTAGTCAAGCGCCCACCCAGCACTTTTGTGCAATTTTCATATTTGTGGACCCATTTGGCAAAGTGCCCATCCCTTCAAAATGCCACTATTTTAAAACTTGGTCTTTGATCATTGATTTACGAATACTGGTAATCATTTTTATATGATACAGTGTGGATATCGACCACCATGTTGTGAATGCTTAGACCACGGTGACCGTGCATAAACTATGCTACAACGATGACCTGTCAATAATAGTAAAATGCAGTAAATATTTCATGGCATATTCAGTTTATACATAAACAAATAGGTACTACAGGTGGACCTCTCTCAGATTTGTTCATTTCGTGATGATATCTTCAATTCTCTAATTTTGGCGAATATTTTTGCAATTTGTGGTAAAAAGTGATATTTCCGGCTTCTTGTTAAAAACTGCAAGTTTGATTACATATAGGTACCTCAGGCAGACCTCTCTCAGATTTGTTCACTTTCTAATGATTTTTTATTTGAAATGTGAATTGCTACCTAACAGCAGAGTTATCTCAGTCGAGAGGCTGCTTGTTTTAAAAAACCATGTCGTCTATTCCCCAAAATCAATTCCAACAGATCGTACTTCAACATCGCTAATTCACTTCCGCATTGTGTTACCAGAAAGTACAACACAGCAATCTGATTGGTTAATAACAGACTTGACCCATAAAGTCAAATGACACTCTTGCAGGTCAAATCATGCAAAAATACATCATGGCAGAAAGTGCTTTTCATCGAGAGTTTGCGTACGATCCAACACATTCATCATTGGGTATAATGATTTTGACCTTGACTGTGTTCCAACAGACTTTAATATTTTTAGCTCCGCTGTCGACTTTGTCGAGCGGAGCTTATCATATGAGTGATTGTCCGTCGTCGTCGTCCGTCGTCGTCGTCCGTCTCCGTCGTCCGTGTCAATGTTTTACTTTTTCGACTTCTTCTTGAAAACTACAAGCCTAAATGCTTTGATACTTGGTGTATATGTACCTTGGGTAGACCTCTCTTAGGTTTGTTCATTTCATGTTGATATCTTTAATTCTCTAATTTTGGTGAATATTTTTGTCATTTTTGGTAAAAACTGATATTTTCGACTTCTTGTTAAAAACCGCAAGTGCAATTGCTTTGATATTACATATATAGGTACTACATGTGGACCTCTCTCAGATTTGTTCATTTCGTGA